AAGTTCAAGTAAGAGTATGTGTCAGATACTTCGTATGAAGGCCTATGTTTACTTGTGAAAGCGAAGTGCTTTATTATAGTCCAAGGTATGAGAACGTATTTCTGTTTTAGGGCCTCGTATGTGTGATAGATGAGAGAACAGGCAACTGTGTATGTTGTCCTTATAGTTAACAATTTGTTTTTCACGCAGATCATGATGACTACAACCCCGACGATGCTTTTAAACCCTCAGGTGCTCCTGCTGCTCTCGTTTTGTTGTAATTTGATAGTTCACGCGAAACATGATTATCATTTGCTATATTTTGAAATTCAAAACTTTTAAGGGTTGTACTACAATAAGGGATTAACTTTAACACGCTATGAATTAAAAATAATAAGTGACATTTTTGTGTTCTAATGTGTTGATCACTGTTGCAGTTTGCTCCGAATATTGTGTCGTTGACAAGATTGGGGTTTGATTTCGAGGGATTCGTAGAAGTCTCTACAACAATGATCAATGAGGAAGACGTTGTGATGGCAAATCGAACATGGTCAGGTACGGCCGAGCGCTGGTTAGATTGAGCCTACACCGCTACAGTCGGTTACTTATCGGCTGATCTTACGGCAGGGCAATTCAAGCGGCCGCCGAACAAATGGTGCTTTGGCGCTGTAAATGGACGGCTTTCGTAGATTTTGCGCAGTTTCCTCCTTCGCTTCAAAATATTTTGTGGTATCTGTACACATAGTTTCCATTTTTTTGCAATGTTTTCAAATGTCGTGCAGTTGCCGTTTCTTAAGAGAATATGTGATGAATTTCGGAAGCTCGGAATTCCATGGTTCGCAATACATTTATCTCGATTTCTTTTAATTTTGCAAAGGAGTGCGACGATTCGCTAGCGCTAGTACGGCGCGACGGCTTGCTGCCGCGAATGTAGCACGATCGCAGCAGAACGAAAAGCTGTAGTGCGTTTGCCTGGAGGTAGCCATATCCGCGCGTTCCAGACTTAAATGAAGTCTGGGATGGTCGACCGTTGTAATATTTAACAAGAGTTTATATCTGTTAGCAAGTGGTGATAACTGATAGACCGTATGCTGTTCACTGTCAACCGCACGAGAACGTGCGACAGTCATAGGTAGCCGTGTCTGTGCATCTAGAAAATACTAGAGACATTGCAACACTCTAACTAAGTAATTATTCTAGTGCAGGAAAGGAACATGAAGTTGCAGGGAAGCTGGTCTGTGCTGCACTGGGATATATGTAGAGTTGCTGTTGGTTTACATACTTAGGTGTTATAATGATTTCTTATATTTACGCGAACACTACACATTTTTAAATAAAACTAATTTTACGGATTTTATCGCGTAAAATCCGTAAAATTAGTTTTACTTAGGTGTTATCGTGTCACTACGTCCCTCACGATACATTTTTGTGTGATTGTGACGGGGACATGTTTGCGGTATGGTTGGTCTGTAACTGTTCTATACTGAATTGAAAAAAAGAGAGTAAGAAAAAAAATGTGGTTCTTACTATCATTGCAGGGCATTTGCCGGTCCAATGATATAGCTACAGGGAATAGTGATTCCGGACTAGCATAAATAGTACTGAAAAAAAAAAGAGATTAAGAAAAAATAATAGTTCTTACAATCATTGCAGGGCTTTGTGCCGGTCCAGTGATATAGCTATAGGGAATAGTGATTCCGGACTAGCGAAAACAGTACTTGAAAAACAAAAGAGAGAAAATAGAAAAAGCTACAGACTAATCATTCCGATCTAGCATAAAGATGATTAAAGTTTTGTAGGGCTTACTGCCGGAACAAGACTGACTGTAACCCAAGTCTGAAGGGTCATAATAGACCGGACCAGACGCTGTTATGTCAGGATAGTCGAACGATGTTTTTTTGTCTACAGATAACTAAAATTGTGATGGAGCGCGTGCGAGGACGCACGCATGTCAGTATGGCCGTGACGGCACCTGCACCGTTGTAGGTGCGGTGGCGTCGGTCTAGCTAGACAGAATTCTTGTAAACGACACGTGTACCGCACACCTGCGGCATTGCACCTGCGTTGCCACCCGTCCTGCTTGTATAAAACGGACGGAGCGGCCGCCGTTAAGACAGTCTTGGCTCTGACGTGGAACGGTACGCTTGTCGTATTCCGTAACTAGTTTATCCTTAACTCGTTGGATAGTTAATTCGAGTAAACGAATTAATTATTATTCCTAACTACAAAATTAGTCTCTGTACTATACACAATTACCCTTTCTACATATATATATATATATATACATCGAAAATAGTTATTCATATTTCTACTAATAATTATGGCAATTACAAAATAAACAAAGATTAATCTCTCAGCGCAATGGAGTTTGGTTAGTCCGTCTTTACCCAATACAAACAAACTGGATTTTTTTTTTATAGGATAAGGGTGATAAACGAGCACACAGTCCACCTGATGGTAAGTGGTTGCTGCGGCCCATAGACATCTACATCTATCCTCGTTTGCGAATCGAAATGCAGATGCGTTGTCACCCGTGAGGACTAAGATGGAATACCTCATTTCCAGTAAAAAGGGCCTCCGGCCACCTGCACTCACCAAGCGAAACGCAGAGGTGAACTTCTGGGGTGCGAAGTCAGAAGTCCTCCACGTGTGCCTGGTAGTTGCGGGTCCCTCTCGATACGTCTGGAGGAAAGAGCAGATACTGGGCCGGTGCACCATGGTCGCGGCAGTAATCTTCCTCGAGAAATGAGAAGAAATTCTTACTCCTTGGGGAATGGTACTGCCGCGGCTAATTATTCTGACATGGGGGGGGGGTCCGTCCCGGACCAACGGTTCGTTCCACTGCGTGACCCTCTGATCATCAGAGGGCATAGTAGAGGAGTGAGGGCGGGCTCGGTGTGCACTTACCCTGCCTCCGGGCAGACAGTGAAGGATTCATCCTTTGCTGTCACCGCCGGTCTCGTAATCCCAGTATCGAAGTGTCGTGGATCAGGTCTCGCGGCTTTGATAGGGACCGAGGGTCTTGGCTTAACCGCCCGGACCGCGAGGGAGAAAACCTCTATAAAAAGTTACCTCGAATCTCATGCGGCGACGCACCGCGAGGGGATGGATGGCTGACGGGGTTCTATGAACAAATCAGTCGTTAGTGCGCTCCTCGCCAGGGTACCTGCAGACCCCCTGGCGAGTAATAAATCCTCTAAATCTGCTTACCTTGGTAAGGGGTCTCTGCCAAGGTGGACCTTTAATTCCCCCATACTCGTGGGTACAAAAAATGGAAACCAAACAAAAAACACAAAAAACCAAAACCGCCGGCAACGGCAACGTAGAGGAGAGGAGGAACGATGCGGGGACAGAGTCCGACGCCGCATCGAGCAGCGAGGGAGGCTCAGAGAGCTCCCGACAAGTGGAGCCTGGGACCGCGGAGACCAGCAAGTTCTTCCGCAAGCGGTCCAGGCGGGATGGCGACCAGGGGTCGGCATCCGGTGAAGAGGAGGTTTCGGCCCGGAAAATCCCCACCAACAGGCGGGGCGGGCTGAGAGGCAAGGGGAGGGAGCTCTCTACCAATCAGAGGGCCGAACGAGCGGCAAAGCTTGCCGAGGAGGGGCGCCACCCGGACGACACGGCTCGGGAATCAGGCGAAGAAACAGACGCGACTGGCGGCTCCGAGGTGGAGCGTAAGGCCAGATTCGTAAAGGAGGTGGAGGCCGCGATCATGGTCGTGACCAACAAGCAAAAGTCCTCCTCGAAATTCAAGGCCATTCCCGCGGCCTCCGCCTCCATCATGGCGGCTGCGGAGGCCAACTTTGCTGGGGCTGGGCCTAATGCGGACGAGGTGGCGAAGCTGCGGGCGGACGTGGCCCGCCTGACGTCCGCCATGGAGACTCTCCAGAAGGAGAATGAGAAGCTCCGCGCAGACCTGGCCAGTCTATATGAGCCTGCCTCTCGCGCGGCGCCCCAGACGCAGCGCCCAAGCCAACCCGTGCCGGTGGAGAACCAGGTTCTGAACCTGGTCCGGCAGGAGCTGGCTGCCTTCCAGCACCGGTTCTACGTGCTGGAGGGCATCGTCCTGCGCCCCCCCCTAGGGGCAAACAAGACGGCGGCGAGGCCGGCAACGGCTTCTTACGCGACGGCCACGGCTGCCGCATCCAGGCCGGGGCCGTCCAGCCAGCCCTCGGGTGGGGCTGCAGTTGCCCCTCCCCCCCCTGAAAAGCCGGCTCCGGCAAAACCGATACCGGCTGAACCGGCTCCGGCTAAGCCGGCGACGGGAAAGAGAGGCAAGGCGAAGGCGAAAAAGGACAAGGCGGCAGCACAGGTGATGAATGCAGTGGCGCGACTGCGGACGCTCTGGCTGCGAAGCTCAGAGCGTCCCTGAACGCGGACGAGGCCCGAGTGTCCAGGCCCGTCAGATGCGCAGACCTGCGCATCATGGGTCTGGACGACTCGGTATCGGAGGAGGAGTTGGTGGCCGCCGTCGCCAGGTCCGGGGGGTGCACTACTGACCAGGTCAGGTCAGGCGCCATACGCCCGGATCAACAGGGTATGCATGCCGCCACGGTGCGCTGCCCAGTTACGGCGGCTAAAACCATAGTGGAGGGCCGAAGGCTTCTGGTGGGCTGGGTCTCAGCGCAGGTTAAGCTGCTGGAGCCTAGACCTCTGAGGTGCTACCGCTGTCTCGTGGGGCATCACGTATCAGTGAAATGCGCCTCGGAGGTTGACCGCAGTGGCCTCTGCTTCCACTGCTGTCAGCCCGGACACATATCGGCGACCTGCTGCGTCACGCCGCACTGTGATGCATGTGCGGCGACCGGCAAGCCAGCCGATCACTGGGCCGGAAGCAGGGTCTGCGTGTCACCCGCCAAGGCCAAGGCCGCGGGTAGGGGAGGGCCCTCCTCCGCCGCCACCGCCTCTATGGCCACCGCCGCAGCTGCAACTGCCGCCGCCGCCGCTGTCACTGTCGCCGCCGCCGCCGCCGCGACACCGACGTCTGCAGAGGGGCGCCCCGTGGAGGAAGCTGAAATGGAATGCCTATAACGGCCCCATTAAGCTTCCTCCAGGCGAATATCAACCACTGCGCCTGCGCTCAGGATCTGTTACTCCAGAGCATGGCGCAGTGGTCGATTAACATCGCTGTGGTCGCCGAGCCGTATTTTGTCTGGCCTAGGAAGGACTGGGTGGCGGACCTTAACGGCTCAGTGGCCATCATTTCTTCGGCCGCCGCCGGTACCCCGACCCTTGAAGGTGTCAGAAGGGGTCAGGGGTGCGTAGCAGCACGGTTCGGGGAGTTCGTCGTTGTGGGGGTGTACTTCTCCCCGAACCGATCTCTCGCCGAGCTCCACAACTCTCTTGCAGAGCTGAGAGCAGTCGTCGTCGGAAGCTATCCCCTCCCCGTGCTTGTCCTCGGGGACTTCAATGCCAAGAACTTGGCTTGGGGTTCTCGTCGTACAGATGTGCGGGGTAGGATGGTGGAAGACTGGGCTCTGGAGACAGGCCTGGTCGTCCTGAATCGGGGTTCTGTAGTGTTGGGTGGTTCGGGGAATAAATAAAACGTCAAATAGTCTAGACGGTAGGTTTAATACTAACTCTCTCTTATTCTATCCTACATATATATAAGCACACACTACACGCCCATCGGCAAAAAGAAAAAAAAATCATTTACAAAAATATTTTTTTTTTTAAATGTAACATAACTTGGTTTATAAAAAAAAAATTATATAAAAGGTGTACATTACAAAGTATTAAAATTCTTATACTATAACATACTTATATCATAATACAAAAAAAATCGTAAACACAGTAATTTTTAATTAATTTTATTTGTATTTATAGTAATAATAACAATTTTATTGTTTTATGTATATGGTCTAGTGCGATTTTTATGTATTGACTTATGTTTACCTTTGTAATCTATTGTTACATTTGGTTCACAATCTTCGATAACCTTAAATGGTCCTATATAAAGAGGATCAAATTTGTTTACACATTGTTCATTCTTAAGGAGTATCATATCACCGATATTATATTTAATTGGATTGGTATAGTAATCATACTTTGTTTTCCTACTTTGTTTGCTTAAAATTAAATTATTTCTTGCATCGTATTGCGATTTTTGAAGTCTATATCTAAGTTGTTGTGGATAATCATATGGGTTATATAAGGGCTCTATATCTAAAGTTAAATTAGTTGGCAAACGGCAAAGCTTCCCAAAAACAAGCTCATATGGAGTATACTTGGTTTCCGTGTGTACAGTGTTATTATAACCAAAACACCAATATGGTAACCAAGTGCTCCAGTTATGTGGTTCATTACCTGTTTGAATTCTGAGAAATGACATTAGATTTTTGTGGCTGTTTTCTAAGGAACCTATAGATTGGTGATGATATGCTGTTGACGTTACCTGTTGCGTTTTGAGAATACGGCACACGTCTTTCATGACGGTTGAAACAAATTCGGTCCCTTGGTCAGATATTATTTGTCGAGGAATACCATATCTCAAAATAAAATTATTGATAAAAGACGATGCCACTGAAATAGTATCCTTATGTTTAAGCGGATAGGCTTCAACATACTTACTTAAATCACACTGTAGTGTGAGTATATAAACATTACTATCGCTATCTTTACATAAGGGCCCTACTAAATCTAAATAAACTCTATCAAAAGCAGAATATCCCGTATCGGTTATCACCATTGGTTCTTTTATATGCTTATTTAAGTGCTTATATCGCAAACACTTGTCACATTGGTTTACATAATTAGTCACATCCTTCTCTAACCCGGGCCAAAAGAATATTTTCTTTATATTGTTTATCATTCGCCTTATACCGGCGTGACCGCTAGTTGGCAATAGATGATAGTCGTTTAATATTATACGTTTTGTCTCATGATCGTCGATTTTATGGACACCATTTAAAATTAATATTCGCGGTCCGGACCTATTTGGTGTCTCATTTATAATACGAGTTAACTCCCTAATTAATATATTGTTATTATTATTTTGTATAATATACAGACGATCAATCTTTCGCTTATTACAAAAGCAATCCAACTCCCTCACAAAGGCATCTCGTGCACAATATGATCGGAAAGAAGGATTTACATAAATTGTAGACTTTGCTGAGACAAAACAAAATAACTTAGAGTTAGAATAGAACTTTTCTTTCATTCTGTCTATCTTTTTCCATTCTTTTTCGTCTACAAATAATAATTCAGTGCAATCCTTCGGTTGTTTAAGTGTTCCCACGACTTTTGGGTGATCAGTCCAATCGTTGGTGTCAACCTTATCCTCCGTAGGGTTGTCACGCTTATCTTGCGCAATTTTGTTTTTTATTCGCTTTCCTTGCGCTCTTGTTAGAACAGATATGACCTTTTCATTCATTTCTTTCAAATCTTCACTCGAAATTTGGATGCGTGACAAAGCATCTGCAGCTGCATTGTCAGCTCCCCTTACATACTTGATAACAAACTTATACTCCTCAAGCAATAACCTAAACTTCGTAAGTCTACTTGACGGATTTGTCATGTTGAATAAATATACGAGAGGCTTATGATCCGTTTCAATAATGAATTCGCGTCCATATAAATAAGGTCGAAAGTATTTTACTGCCCATACTATCGATAATAATTCCTTTTCGATAGTAGGATAGTTTTTCTCGGCTTTGTTTAAAGTGCGGCTAGCATATGCAACCGGTCGTCCGTCATGATTACATAAAACGGAGCCTATAGCAAAACCAGACGCGTCAGTTTTTAAAATAAAATTTTGGTCAAAATTTGGGTACTGAAGTATGGGAGGAGTCGTTAAAGCATTTTTAAGCGTTGAAAAAGATAGTTTACAGTTTTTATTCCAATGAAATTTAACATTTTTGCGACATAAATTGTTTAGAGGTAAAACGATTTCAGAAAATTTTGGTATAAATCTTCGATAGTAATTCGCAAACGCTACTAGTCTTTTTACATCGTTGGTATTTTGAGGAATTGGGTAATTTTGTAATACTGATATCTTTTTTGGGTCAGGCTTAATACCTTCGGAAGAAACAATGTGGCCAAGATAAAGAAGTTCTTTTTTTAGAAAAACACATTTTTTCGGGTTTAACTTTAAGTTTACTTTTCTTAAGCGTGATAATATTTCTATTAATTTTTTATTATGATTATCTAAGTTTCTGCCAAAACAAATGAGGTCGTCTAAATAAGTGAGCGCTTTTTCGTAATTTAAACCAGCCATGGATATTGTAATAGCACGAGAAAAGGAACTTGGGCTTGTCTTTAAGCCCATTGGCATTCTGGTCATCTGATATTGACCAGAGGGTGTAGTGAAAGCCGTATACCTTCTACTAGATGGATTAAGGCTTAATTGGTAAAAAGCTTGATTGAGATCAAGGTGGGTAAAATACATTGCTCCTGATAAGGAATCTAATATGTCTGTAATATTGGGTAACGGAAATTTGTCATCTACAATACAGTTGTTTAATTTTCGAAAATCGATAACCAAGCGCCAGCTCCTGTCCTCACCATTTTCTGGCTTTTTGGGTACAAGAAGCACAGGACTTCACCACTCACTGCAAGCTGGTTCAATAATTCCGTCTTGTAACATATTTTTGACTTGTTTTTCTATTTCGTTCCTCTGAGAATAGGGTAATCGATACTGTTTTACATACACTGGGTCAATATTAGGTTTTAACTGAATATTATGTTCATATAAGTTACAAGTTGTTAATTGATTTCCTGGCAATAAAAATATGTCGGAAAATTTTGCACAAATATGTATAATAGAAGATTTTTCCTCTTTATTTAAATGATCCAAATTTAATAAATATAACATTTTATGAACGCGTTCGGGATCAATGAGACTTTTATCAAACTTACAAATTGAATAATTATGTAAACTATCGGTTTCAGGTCTAAAATAACTAAGATTGACCGGATCCTCTCGTGTATTTAATATTTTTATTGGTATTTTCCCGTTATTCGCTTTGACAATTCCACCAGACAGAAATACTCCCTCGCATAACTCTTTCGGAAAGACAACACAATCTTCTATCATACTCGCATTGATATAAAATAAATTCTCGCATCTCGGAGGTATACTCAAATAATTATTATTTCCCAAAATACCCATATGCAATGGCAAAGTTACTAATTCATTCATATTATGCAGTGTAATAGTATTCAATTCAAAATTTATGTTACAATTAAATTTACGTAAAAAATCTATACCTAAAATTCCAGAAGTTTCACACGGCAACTGCTTTATAACATGAAACTTATTATTAAATTTCAGCCCGTCAACAGACAATGTTAAATCAACAAATCCCACGGTTCGTAATTTGCCTCCAATTCCGTTTATTGTAATCGGTTTCTTTTGTAATGAAATGTTTAGTTTACTAAGCGTGTCATATTTAATCACACATAAAGAAGCGCCGGTATCTACGAGCCATCTACATTTGATACCATCTATTGCTAACTCAACACAATTACTATATTCGCAACTAAATATATTATTGGTCTCGAAAAAATTCTAGGTTATTTTCACTATTATCGTTATTAGGGTTAATTTCAATATTTTGAGAACTTTGCGATACGCGATATTCTGGTGTTATAAAATGAACTCGCTGGGCATTTTGACCACGAAAAGATCCGCGATTCTGGTATGAGTACTCACCATAATTACCTTTTTTCCCGCGGTGTTGTTGATTTCCACACGAAAACTTTTGGGGTACCGGTTTCCTCCAATTCACATTATTTTTTGCTTGGGTATGCCAAGGATATGTTTGTCGTGGTACATTATTGGATGTATACCTACCACGAAAATTTTTACGCGTTCCTGAACCACCTCGATTTCCGAAATAAATCGATGGTTCGGTGTACTCGCTAGGTCGAACACTAGATGTCTCCTCATCCTTTGCAGCTCTAATTGTTTCTTTTAACGTACTATAATTGCGTGCTGACAAAATAATACTGAGTTGTCGGTTTCGCAAGCCATTTGTGAAACTTTTAATAGCGATCTTTTCATTTATAGGACGTAAAATTTTATGCGCGTTTTGGTCACCATCGGCTTGGGAAATCGTCAAATCTACGAATAATTGTTCGATTTTATTGCCATAATTATCTAGGGAACTACTATTTTGTCTTATTTGCATTAGTTCGTTATGAATGGAAGTGTAAGATTTCTTTGTTAAAAGGTGGTTCCGCATATCACTTATAAGCGCCTCGCATGAGTCATAGGAATCTAATAGGCGTAACTTAGCACCTTCATTCAAACGAGTCTTTAACACAAATTTTATTAACATAGACTTACCTTCTTCTTTAAGCGAAGAGCTATATAACTCTATCGAGTCCATCAAGGTTTTGGTGACCGATTCCTCGCCCGTCATCACTGGCAGGAGTGACACAGCAGTTTTAAAGTCGAAACTTTCCATGGTGAATATTTCGCTTTGAATAGTGCCCTTGGAAGTTGATTGAGAGCTGTAATCCTTACTACAAAAGTTTTCTATTTGTCCATATAAACTCTTAATTAAATCGCAATATGATTGTATTTCAATTAATGCATTACTTTTAATTTGTTTACTTTCTATCTCTTTATTTAAAATTATCAAACAATCATCAAATTCTTTACGTAATTGTACTGATTCCTTAAGTTTTTGTTGCAAAATGCTTTTAGTTCGCTTATCATAACTTAATTTAACTAAATTATTTTTAATATTTTTAAATTTTTCATATATTATTATTAATTCACTAGACATGGAAGTACAGTTAAAAAGAAATATCGTTGTCAAAATATTTTAAGGTTTAAGGCATACATATAAGGCTATTTTTATTATTTTTTTTCCCTTTTTTTTTAAACTTAAACTATAACATATTTTTCAATTTAAACCTCATTTTTTCAACTTGACGCTTTCGTTGTCTCCCGGCGGTCCTCATGGCGGCACTCACAGCATACACGGGGTACACGAGGTCCTGGGTCCGGTGATCGCACAAAAGAACGACGCAAATTGTGCATTACCATCTCATTCCGCATCCAGCATGTATGGCAACTTTTGTATATTTTGTATACACCATAGAGAAGAGCCAAGCCCAAAACTGTGCATATTATAATCAGCACGACGGATATCCCAGACAGGTGGCTTTTAATTTCTTCTACATGTGCAGAATTTGAGCCTCCTGAAGTGTCTTGCGTAATAAATACTTGGTCTTTCTTGACTTCAGAACGACACATTTTTTTTTTTTTTAAAACGCGGCCCGCGACCGAACCCAGGCAGACCGCCGATGAGCTGCCAGCTCATCGGCGGTCTGCCTGGGTTCGCCATGTAGTGTTGGGTGGTTCGGGGAATAAATAAAACGTCCAATAGTCTAGACGGTAGGTTTAATACTAACTCTCTCTTATTCTATCCTACATATATATAAGCACACACTACAGTTCTGTCCCCACGTGTGTGCGGATGCGGGGCGAGTCGGTGGTGGACATTTCGTTCGCTAGCCCCGCTCTGTCGCCGCGTGCCATTGGCGCATGACGGCATTGACTGGCGAGTCATGAAGGGGGTGGACACCTACTCCGACCACCGGTACATCCGGTTTGACGTCTCCACCTAGCCCTCGAGCGCGCCAGTCCAACAGGCCCCGAGTGGTCCGCGTTGGGCGCTGAAGCAGCTGGACCGGGAGCTCCTCCTGGAAGCCTCGATCGTGCAGGCCTAGGTGTCATCACCGGATAGGCCTGCCGACGTCAATGATGAGGCAGGGTGGTTCCAGGAGGCCATGTCCGAGATATGTGACGTGGCAATGCCCCGCGTCCGGCCAGGAAGCGCCCGGCGCCAGGTGTATTGGTGGTCGCGTGAGCTGACGTCTCTGCGCGAGGCGTGTGTCGCCGCGCGGCACCTGTACGCCAGGCATCGCAGGCTCCGCATTCGTCCACCGAATGCGGCAGCCATTGAGGCGGAGCTGTACGAGGGATACAGAGCGGCGAAGATCGCCCTCCGGGAGGCTGTCATGCGGGCCCGGGATCGGGCCCGTGAGGAGATGCTGTAGACTCTCGACAGAGATCCGTGGGGGCGCCCTTACAAGATGGTGCGGGATAAACTCCGCACCTGGGCCCCCCCGCTGACGCAGAGTCTCCGGCCTCAGCTCGTGGAGGACGTGGTGAGCGCTCTCCTGCGCGAGGGGAACATCCGCCCCCGCTTATGGCTCCGCCACCTGCGGTGCCGGAAGCGGACCACCAGGACGACGACGACGGCATCCCGGAAGGGACCGGGGTAGACCTGAGAGTGGCGGTACGTAGGCTCAAGGCCAGGAATACCGCCCCAGGACCCGATGGCTTGCCTGGCAAAGCCTGGGTCCTGGCCTTGGAGGCTCTCGGGCCCCGACTGGAGGGGCTCCTAAGCGCATGCTTGGAGAGATGCCAATTCCCGCTTCGTTGGAAGACGGGGAAGCTGGTCCTCATTTGGAAGCCGGGGCGCCCTGCGCACTCTCCGTCCGCATACCGGCCCGTGGTGCTGCTCGACGAGGTGGGCAAGCTCTTTGAAAGAGTCATTGCAAACCGCCTCGCCGAGCACCTTGCGGGGACGGGGCCGGATCTTGCGGAACACCAGTTTGGTTTCCGCAAGAGGCGCTCTACGGTGGACGCCATCATGCGCGTGAGAGCCCTCACGACGGGGGATGCAGTGGGCAGGGGGGTGGGGTTGTTTTGGCGGTGTCTCTCGACATCGCCAACGCCTTCAACGCCATGCCCTGGAGCTGCATTAGGGAGGCACTCCGGTATCACCGGGTGCCGACCTATCTCCGTCGTATAGTCGGGGACTATCTGACGGATAGGGCCGTCATCTACCCCGGTCGCAATGGTAACTGGAACCGGCGAGAGATGTCGTGCGGTGTTCCACAAGGTTCGGTTCTGGGGCCGCCCCTGTGGAACATCGGTTACGACTGGGTGCTGCGCGCCGACCTCCCTACCGGCGTCAGCGTAGTTTGCTACGCTGACGACACGCTGGTACTGGCACAGGGGGGGTCGTACGAGGCGGCGGCGGAAACTATGACACGCGGGGTTGCGATAGTCGTTGAGAGGATCCGGCAGCTGGGTCTTGAGGTGGTTCTGCACAAGTCCGAGGCCATGCACTTCCATGGTCCTCGGAACAGGCCACCACCGGGATCCTCAGCGATGGTAGGAGGGGTATCCATCGGCGTCGAGTCGACGTTGAAGTACCTAGAACTCGTCCTCGACGGCCGATGGAACTTCGTTGAGCACTTCCGACGTTTGGCTCCCAAACTGGAACGGACCGGGGCTGCCTTCAGGCGGCTCCTGCCGAACCTGGGGGGGCCAAACGCCTCCTGCCGGAGGCTCCACGCGGGAATTGTGCGGTCCATGGCCCTTTACGGGGCCCCGGTGTGGGCGCGTGGTTTGGCGCGGCTTGCCGTCCACCACCTAAACGCGCCCCAAAGGGTGGTTGCCGTAAAGATGGTTCGCGGCTACCGCACGATCTCCCGCGAGGCGGCGAGCCTCCTTGCCGGATTGCCGCCATGGGATCTGGAGGCGATAGTCCTCGCGCGCCTGCACGAATGGCGCGCGGCAGCACTATGCCGGGGGGAAACCCCGCTGCCGCGGCAAGTTGTCGCGCAGCGGACAGACTTCCGGCATGATCTCATGGCGACATGGAGAGAGCGACTGTCGCAACCCCGTGCTGGGCACGCCACTATAGCGGCGATAAGACCCCTCTTTGAGGAGTGGCTTGAGAGACGCCACGGCGTCCTCACCTTCCGCCTGACGCAGGTCCTCACCGGACACGGTGTGTTCGGGAGGTTCCTGCACCGAATCGGGCGAGAGGAAACGCCCGGGTGCTCCCACTGCGAGGATCAACCGGAGGACACGGTGGAGCACACTGTGGAGGTGTGCCCTGCCTGGGCGGAGCACCGCCGTGTCCTCGTAGCGGCGATAGGCGGCGGCGACCTCTTGCGTCCGGCCCTGGTCGAAGCCATGGTCCGGAGCGAGACGGAATGGGAGCGGGAGAAGGAGAGAGCAGCAGCTTTCCTTCCCGGCCGCCGCGGGAGACACCCCGGGCGTCGGGGGCTACGTCGTGGCCCCCGACCACCGTAGGCGCGGGCCTGTGGACGGCGAGCAATGGGTAGCTCGCCGTCCGTCCGTCTAACGACGACAGGCCGTGTCGATGGCGCGTTTTGTTCCACGCGCGCCTCAAAGAGCTGTCAGCAGCGTGAAGGGGCCCGCAAGGGCCGACGCCTGCCGGGGCTGCGGGCTGTTCGAAAGAGATACCGCGGCTCCGGAACGTAAGGGCACTGAAGTAACACGGATGGTTTTTAGTCAGTAAAAGTCTGACACTCCCTTCCGCTCCACCCAGAGCGAAAGGCGTCATTTGATGATTTTCCATCCGCAAAAAAAAAAAAGAGGTGAACCTCTACTTCACGCTGGTATTCTGTGAGGTCGCGGTACCACCCCGGTTCGAGCCAGCCCATCTGTGCGACAGCAAAAGCTGCCGCGTGGCTCTACCACTGTTGTGGATGGTTTTCCCACGCGAGAACATGCCACATATAGTTGACCGTGGGAAAAGCATGGTGTATCCAAATCGAAGCCACAAACAGACAACGTTTGGCCTTGTCACTTATTGATCGTCATTGCGAAGCCAATATAATTGGGAATTGAATGCTTTTGAATTCAATTGGTACATTTTTTCCCTAAAGAAATTATACAGATTCGTGGTAGCAATACGATTTTGCCTCGGAACTGCCATTCAAAATGCTGGATTCGATAATGTTTTTCATTAGTTTTTTAATGACTAATCATGAGCCAAAGCAAAGCTGTGGTGGGTTTAAATTACGAAGCAAAATAGCCGGAGATCCAATCTTCAATTCTAAATGGTGCGGAGGCATGCCTGGCATATCCAATGAATTCAAAAACTCAATTGGATAATTCACAGATTCGTTGGCATTGCAAACTGCATCGACAGATTTTTATGATACGAGTACCAAGTCCCCATGCAACAACTGTTTTATCTTGGAATTTAATCCATTGATGTCCACATTTTCTGCTGCCAAAATCGCTCTTTCTACCAGCCACTCAAGATTTTTGTATTGTGTGTGTACATTGGGATTTTAAGCAAGTGTTGAATTCATCAGCGTATGTTCAACGTCGAATAATGGGAAAATATCTGTCTGAAATCACCTGAAATGAGTAACAAAATGCCGCCAAATAGTTTGTCGTTGCTTATTATATCATTCAATGTCCTATCCAATTCCTCAAGCGATTGTTTGTGTGCCATAGTGCATTCATCCCAAATGATAATTTTACTTTGTTTCAGCATGGTGGCCATGGTTGATTGTTTTTATGTTGCACACTGCATCTGGGTTATTATGAATGTTTAATGGTAGCTTAAATGCTAAATGAGCTGGTCTGCTTCCATATGATAAAGTTGTTGCAATTTCCGGTAATGTAACGGCCAATGCGATGCCATTGTTTGATCGTATCTTGGCAAGAAGTAGCAAAATAAGGAATGTTTTACCAGTTCCACCTGGTGCATCCAAAAACAAGAATCCCCCTTGACCTGCCGAGACTGCCAGCATATTGCGGTCGTAAATTATTTTTTGTTCATCATTTAGTAGTGGAACATTGCGAGTAACAATCGCTGCCAATCGGCGCATTCGACAATGCCTGGTGGCCCGAAATGATGAACGAGCTAGAAAATAAGAAAGAAGATAGATCAATATGCAGGTTAAGAAGCAGCTATCTACTGGACAGACAAATAAAACTCACATATGCTGGTCATGAGGTGATAAAGCAAACCAACAAAGGCTGCATACAGGGTTCTACCTGTGGACCCCTGCTATGGAATTTGCTGCTCGACCCGTTACTAACAGAAGTTGATGGCCTAGTAACATACATTCAAGCATACTCAGACGATATAATTATAATAGCGAAAGGAAAATCAGTAAAAGATTTAGAAAATGAGCTGAATCCGGTACTAAACCACATCATAAAATAGGTAAAAAAGAAAAAATGAAACTGGCAGCTCAGAAAACTCAAGCCATATTGATAACGAAAAAGATAAAACTTGAAAATCCAGAGATAGTACTCGGAGAAACGGAAATAAGTTTCCCTGATGAACAATACTTGAACTCACAATTGACGCCAACCTAAACTTCCTTAAATATGTAGACAGGGTAACTGAAATAGCAATCCAACTTTATAAAAAAACTGGCAAAAACAGCAACAACAAACTGGGGCCTGAGTCTTGAAATTCTTAGGACAATTTTCATAACTGTGGTAGAACCAACCATATTATATGCTGCAAGCGTGTGGGGACAAATAAATCCAGGCTTGACAGGATAACGAGAACGTTCAGTATACTGATATGTAAAGCACATCGCACTTCTTCTTTAATCTCATGCGCCATTTTAGCTGGAGTTCTTCCCCTAGACCTAAGAGCACAAGAAAACGCCAACCTATTTAGAATTAAAATGGGGAAACCACTGGAACGATTACCAGGCAGAGAATTAGCAAAATCTGTAAGTCCGTACT